TTTAACTGTAAGCCAAACTGAATAATCTCCCAGGGAAAAGAACCTCCTCCCCCTCCTGCCTTTCCCACCTCCTGCCCCTCCCCCACCAACACTGCCTCCCCGCTGCGCAAAGAGCCCTTTGTCCTGCCCTGCACTTATCTAGCTGTTTGGCCATATTGACAGGCCAACTAAAGGCAGAATAAGCGAGCCAGTTTGCCATAAGCAGCTGGCAATTTGAAACAAAAATCTTCCTTTTCTACTCAGACCAAGTCCTGCTGCAGGCGTCTCTGGCTCCTCCCATGCTTCCATCTATTTTTCAAACAGCACAGCAAGGAATTCTGCATTTTCCCTCAACTAGGTAGCACATCAGAAACTTGACTACCCAGACAGAAACATTCTGAGTGAAGTCCTACATCTACTGTTTTTTACAGGCCAAGGAGTATCCTCAGGCTCAGGTGTATATACATGACTAACACGGCTGAGGAAATGATTATGACTTCAATCTGCCACCAAAACTCTTGAGAATGTTCATACTTCAAGGGAAGACAGAAGAGCACAGCTATCGGTCAGATCAAATCAAGTCATATATATTAGATAAAGACATCCAATAACCTTAGTGTTCTTTTAAAAATACTAAGCCATTATTCCAATAAGCAGAAAATTCCTTATCCCTGTCTTTATGTCAAAGATATTTAAAGTGGCCCTTACAGCTCTCCCTGAGGTATTCAGCAAACAAAATCAATATGATGGAAAAACTGAGTGAGGCAGGATGGGATTACAAATTCCTTGCTTGGTGAGAGTGGATATAAAGTAGACAGAGATTCTGCTTCATTGTTCCTTTTATCTCTCATAAGTGTTAGGAGTTTAATATATTGTCAGAATAAGAATTCTCTAAAGCAATGCTTTCCAACACACTGCCCCCCCCCCCCATGTTATGGGGTATCTACTCAATTCAGAATGAATATATAACAGAATATTTTTCATAAGACTAACTGGTTAAACAAAATATACTGAGAAATTACAGAAATGATATTCTATCAACCTCTCATGAACTACCCTGAGTCTTCACCACAAGAGAAGTCACTGCATCAAGGTTAAAAATGCCATTTCACCATATACTTTGGAATTTTGGGAGCAAGGAATGGTGTCAATCGCTATTTATCATAGGTACATCATACTTTGAGGAGTGACTGAATTTTTTTTTAACAAATAACCACCAGTATTACTAAATATATAATCTTACAGTTTTGCAGAGCCGAAGTTTCGTTTGTCCTAAATAACAAAAAAGGAAAACTTTATTTATTCATGAGCCACTTTTTCACTGGTAAGAGGTATCCAACAATCACTGACTGTCCTTAGCTTTTGCCCAATATTTCATAAATTACTTGAATATGAAGAGGATAAAGTAAAAGTGGTTGTATGCACATCTGCATTTTGAACAGTGTTATTTTCCTGTCCAAAGGGAAAAAAAGAAGTGGCCGTCCTCCTCCAGGAAGGCCAAAATAAATCCCAAAAGTATGTACATTTCTGGACACAAAACACTGTCAGTAGACAGTAAAAATTTCAAGCATGCTGGTTAAATAAATTCTATGAAAAGGTCCTCTACGCTCTTAAGGAAATGATCTTACATTTAGATCTCAAAGGGGTTCCAAACAGGAAATACAAGTTAAAAGCTATTATTTCATAAGGTAGCTTTCATATAATAACTTAGACATTTGCATCTATGTTAAACAGCCAGTATGAGTGACATCATACTTATCTGATACGACATCTTTTATATGTGATAGTAATAAGAATTAAAACCACCTAAAACGTTATCCATTAAAGGTTCTGTTTCATTAGTCCACTTGCAACATTGAAAGACAATGCACGCAACATTTATGAATGACAAAACTCATTTCCATTCTTTCTGGTTCCCGCCACAAACGCCAGAGTCATACTACACTTTATAGATGACTGGGTTCATTTACACAAAAGTGAACATACAAAAATTCTGAAGGAAAAAAGATATATATAGGACGCCTGAGTCTTAGGGGGAGACAATAACGGGCATCTGTTAAGTATCGGCTATAACTGATGGTGTATCGGGCTGCTGATTCTCCTTCAAGTACTTCCATACTCAACAAACTGTTCAGCTTAATCAGAGATCTTCCTAAACTGTGGAACTGTGGAAGAAGAAAGACTACATTAGGGGCCTAGAGGCTATCATCTCAAGTATCCTGTATACTAGATTTATTCAATTTCTGAGTATTCCTTCTAGTCTGTCATATTTCAAATGGATCACTGTCAAACATATACATCCTTGTGATCTTAAGACAACTATACTCAACACATATTATAATTAATCAATATTACAGGTAAAAGAAATAATCTAATTTGGAGAAATCTATTACTAACACAGAAAACAAGAAAACACTTGATATTTATATATAGAAATCATTCTCCAAAGGACAGTTGTTTTTAGAGTTTAAGACCCCAAATATGGTAAAATGTTTAGCAAAACATCTGTTCAATAAGGTAAATATGGTCTAATAACTGGAAGAAGACATACAAATGAAGTATTAAAATTGATTTAATGATAAAAAAGATGGAGGAAAACATGCCAGCTGCAGAAAAATCAACTGATATCTTCCCTATTCTGGTTCTCAGGAAGATCCTTAAATGCTTATTACCTTGGTTTTAAAAGGATTGAAAAATTAAAACTCAAATGGAACTTCTGGTCCTATCCAAGCAAAACCCCCAGATTAAAACCAAAAACCTGCCACAAAAACCAAACAAAAGTCTTTAACTACGATCCACTTTCCAAATGCTGATAACCCTAAGTGGGTAGAAGGTTGTGAATTGCTAATTCTCATTTCCCCACCAATAAAATGCGAACCAGCAGTGAAAATTCCGAGGAAAGCAAGGCTTCCGCCTTAGCCCTGAAGCAGCCATTGCCCAAGTGCAGCTCCCTGCAGCCCACAGCGTTAATGGAGGCTGCACTGCTGTCCTTCCCTGGAGACGGCAGCCAGCGCTGCTCAAGCTTCTCACGTAGCAACCAGAGCTCCAGAGCCAGCAGCTGCTGCTGCCGTGTATACTCACCCCTGTGATCCAACCCAAAGGAGCAACCTGCTTCTTACCCCACCCCCACTCCTTACACATTTTTTTTTTTTTTGGACCAGTGCTCCATGCCAGAAGGGCTGGAATTATGCCTTTAGAAAGCAACAATCCTAAGGTCACCCTTTTAGTTTTAACTGTGGCTTTTTATTAGAAAAATCAACATTTACCAAATTCCAAATATACACTTAATAAGGCAGCAATTTAGGAGTGAAGATTAACCTTTAGTCTTTAAAAGGCCAATTTGCTAAACATTCTCTTTACAGTCAAATTTAAATTTGCAGTTAAAAGACAGAAGCTTGTGTTGTGTCCTACCAAAGGACATAATCATTTTTCTACGTAGTGACATCCTGAGTAAACCTTTAAGATTCTAATCCCATACGAACCAGAATTTTTGGCTATAGAAGAAAACTAACGATCCTCCTGAAAAAAACCGGTAGAAATCTAATAAAAAAATTTCCTGTCCACCAAGAGGCCCAGAAACCTCTGAAAATGTGAGGTTTACTAGCTCAGATTGCACACACCTCAAGTTACCACTTATAATTTTCCTCTCAGAGTGACCTACAAACATTGATATAAAACTAATCAAGAAAATTTCCCAAATAGGGGGTACACATTCTCTTGAAAAGCCCAGAACACTCAACTCAGCCGGATCCACCCTAATCACAGTATTGCTATGTAATATGTAACATCTGCCCAACAAAAATGTTAATATGACCTTGGTCATAAATATGTCATTTAAATGCAACTCGTTTCATCAAGTGATAAAGGAAATTTGCAGAGGATCTGGGGATTCTTTTAGTACTATGAGAATGGGGAAAACTGGAAAAATAAACTAAGTATAGACAAAGCCCAATGCAACCCAGAGGTCTGGGCAAGAAAAGAGTTAGTGGTGAACACACTGCACAAGTAACATGAGAAAGCAGAAAATGCAGGTCATACACGCACCCCTGACCCAGACCAGCAGAGGTGGCTGCAGCATCAGTATCCAAGGGAAAGACCAGTTATTCCCAAGAAGTGAGACGAGCAAAGGAGCTCTGTAGAATAAATTAGCATAGAAGGGGCTTTCCCAACAGAAACTTTCCCTCTCACGCGATTCACCTACTTAAAAACCAGGGTTTTTTTCTCACCACCATTCACTTCGCATCCCTGGCTTCCACGCAAAGGGGAAGAGAATTCATAAAGGCTACATTTTTCTGCCTTTAAAGACGTTCGCAAATGATCGCTCTGCACGCCCAAGGCAGGGAAAACGACACAATCTGGCTCAACTCCAAGCTAGAACCCTACAAATTCAGTGAGGCCATCTCAGATATACTGGGGCTTACGCCACTGAGAGCCCAAGAATGTGAGGTGGGGGTGGCGAAGGTAATGTCTTTAGTGTGGGAAACGAAGCAATCATCTGCGATGGGGACCCCAGGATGAGGGGGAAGGCGTCCAGGAACATTCGGGGGTGGGGTGGGGAGATCGAAGACCGCCCCCCCCCCCAGGGATCAGATTTGTCACAAGGCCGCGCGAACGGGAGTGGGGGTGGGGTTTGGGGAGGGGAAAAAAAGTGTGCCTGTGTATTTTGAGAGGAGAGCAGCGAGAGGCCTATCCTTAAGTAAAAGGTAAACGTGGAGTAGGCAGTTCCCAGGAAAAGGGGTGAAGAGGCCTGGGGGGAGGGGAAGCGTCCTGACCCAGGAAAGACGTGAAAAGGGTAGTGGGGTCGACGAGATTACGGATGGGGCCTCTCGGCCTGGGAAAGGGGTGCAACGGTGTGTGGGGGGCGGCGAGGGGGATGAGAAGGGGCAGCATCCTCCTACTGAGAGCCTGGGGAGGGTCAGGCCCACGTCCCGAGAGCAAGCGCGGGGAGACGGAGGAGGTGACCCTTCCCTCCCCCGGGGCCGGTCGTGAGGGTAAGTCTCTCTTTTCTGTTGGACCCTTACCTTGTCCCAGGCCTGGGCCCGGGCTGCGGCGCACGGCACTCCCGAGAGGCAGCAGGACTCGAGTTAGGCCCAACGCGGCGCCACGGCGTTTCCTGGCCGGGAATGGCCCGTGCCCGTGAGGTGGGGGTGGGGGGCAGAAAGGCGGAGCGAGCCAAAGGCGGGGAGGGGGAAGGGCCAGGGAAGGAGGGGGGGCCGGCACTACAGTGTTGGCGGACTGGCGGGACTGGGGCTGCGTGAGTCTCTGAGCGCAGGCGGGCGGCGGCCGCCCCTCCCCCGGCGGCGGCGGCGGCGGCGGTAGCAGCTCACTCAGCCCGCTGCCCGAGCGGAAACGCCACTGACCGCACGGGGATTCCCAGCGCCGGCGCCAGGGGCACCCGGGACACGCCCCCTCCCGCCGCGCCATTGGCCCCTCCGCCCACCGCCCCGCACCCATTGGCCAACTCGCTGCCAATCAGCGGAAGCCGCCGGGGCCACCTAGAGAAGAGGCTGTGCTCTGGGGCTCCGGCTCCTCAGAGAGCCTCGGCTAGGTAGGGGAGCGGAACTCTGGTGGGAGGGGGTCCGGCGGATTGGTGGGGGGATGGGTGGCTGAGGTCGTCTGGCTGGTAGTTGGGGGTCGCCTTCCCCGGCGGGAAGACGGGAGCATAGCGCTTGTTACGCTGAAAGGGAAAGAGGTGGTCAGAGGCAGGCGGGAATGCGGCCCGCCTTGCGGCAACCGAAGGGGGAGGGAGAAGGGAGCGGAAAAGGCTCGAATCTGGACGGAGCCATTGCGCCTACAGAGGGCGGAGCGCTTCCGGCCGTTATCTTGTCACTGATTGGTTGCTGCTCCTCCCGCCGTGTGTGAAAACACAAATGGCGTGTTTTGGTTGGAGTAAAGCGCCTGTCAGTTACAGCCTCGGGAGTGCGCAGCCGCCTAGGGACTCGCATTGCCCCCTGGGTGGGTGCTTAGGTAGGTAGGGTGGAGAGAGACTTGGACGGGCAGGCGCGGTCGGCCTCCCACGGGGAGGTAGGGGTGGGGGTGGGAAGGGGGGGTCAGTGAAAGTGGCTTCGCGCGGGCGTCCTACCACCCTCCCCTTCCTTCGGGGGAGTCGGTTTACCCGCCGCCTGCTTGGCTTCGGCAGCTGATTGGCTGCTGAAGCCCAGGGAACGGCCCCTTGTTATTGGTTCGGGTCCCAACTGAGCGAAACCACTGCGCGGGTCGGCGGGGAGGCGGTCGTTGGTACGGTCCTCCCCGAGGCCCAGCGCCGCAGTGTCTGGCCCCGCGCCCCTGCGCAACGTGGCAGGAAGCGCGCGCTGGAGGTGGGGGCGGGCTGCTGGGCCGAGGATTCTGGGTGGTGGCGATTGCGGCTCCGCCCTGGGCGCCCGCTGCCTGAAGGACAACACTAGCCCGACCTGCTCCTGGACCCGTGGGGCTGAAGGGAGGAGTGGGGGTCGGTGCCGTTGGTTTGTGGGTGGGAGGTGCTTGTTCTCCAAAAATCGGCGCGAGCTGCAATCCTGAGGCGCCTGCAGTGGAGGAGGCGGAGAGAAGGCCGCACCCTTCTCAGCAGGGGGAGGGGAGTGCCGCAATACCTTTATGGGAGTTCTCTACTGCCTCCTGTCTCCTAAGGACCGCCCTGGGCCTAGAAGAATCCCTCCCTCCCCCGCGATCTCGTCATCGCCGCCTCCATGTCGAGTCTCTCCTCGATTATGGGCGGGTTTCTTTTGCCCAGGCTTAACCTTGTTCCTGGGCGTTGTCCTGCAGGGGATCGAGCAGGTACTAGATTTAGAGGACGAACCCGATTTCATTATCTTCCCACAGACTTGAGTTTGTGTCACAAAATTATAATGGGGTGGTGGAGTGAAATGAACTCCATGCAACATCTGGGACTGATTCTATGCAGCGAGACTGCGTGTTACTACTTATTAACATCCTTTTGTTGCATTTTTTTTTTCCCCAGGAGATAGGTTAAAAGCTTGATCTCCTGAGTTTTATACTCTCCCCATTTGAGACAGTTGAGAAATAGGTTAAAGGCATGATCTCTTGAGTTCCCTATTTGAGACCGTTGCTACACCGCCAAAACAGAGCATCTTAGATTAGATCTTAAAAATTTAATTCCCCACCCTTGCATTCTCAGAGTTAGGCCTTTCAGCAACTCTCACTCATACTTTCAGCCCATTTTCTGTTTGCTATACTTGCTCTTCCTGTCCCAGTCATACCATTGGCTTTCTCCTCTCCTGTTTTTGGTGTCCCGGTGAGTCATGAAACCAGACAGGTTTCACCACCAATTTAGGCTACCCAGCTCGAGCATAGGCTTCACTCTTGCCCAGCAATGCGTTTATTCCTCTTTTATGGATATTCTTGAATCCTTACCTTGATGTTCATTTAATTTTTTAACCTCAGCTGGGATTCTGCTGACCCTCTTCATAGTCCAGATGATCTTCACTACTGCTTTGCTGAGAATTGGACGTGAGGTTCAGCAACATGTCTTTTATATCCTTAGAATACCTTTGAATCCATTTTCATTGATATGCTCATCAGTAATCGAGCTCAGTTGCCATAAGGCTAGGATCCTCCGAACTAGTATCTCTTGTCTCTGGTATCTGCTGATACAACTTTCCCGTGTCCAGGACAGTTGTTCTCATACAAAGATACAGCATGGAAGTAACTGATCCAACTCCTTTCTTGACTGGTAACTACCGACAGGATGAATTCCATCATCACAAATGTGATGTACAAGGTCCTTCAGTGGACTAACCTCATCTTAACAGCCGTTTTGTTTGTGACAGTTTTCCACATACACACCCAAACAACCTTATCAGACCTCTTTGGTTCCTCCTGGAATGCTACCCTTGATAGTCCTTAGGCTTCCGATAAAGACTCTTAAAACTCAAATACCATCTCCCCTGTGATCTTGCCTTCTGTGATCTGTGCTTTAAGCCAGAATCCCCTTTCTCTTGGTCCCACAGCAAGTTGAATCATAGCACTTCTCAGATGGTTGTCACTGCTTGTTTAAATTCTCTTAACTATTCTGAACTGCTTGTTGAGTGTTGTACCTAAGTTCCTAGTATATTCCTTGATGGCTAGCCAACCTTAAATAAAACGGAGTGACTTGTAGATGTCTTTATAAGGTTTGATGGATTGTCCTCTGTTAACACTTCTTTGTGTGCTTGCTAGTGTTCTAGATTAGCACTGTCCAGTAGAAGATTCTGCAGTGATGGAAATGTTCTAATATAGTGTGCTATCTGATACGATGGCCACTGACCATATTCTTGAGCCCTGGACATGTGGCAGTTGTGACTAAGGAACTGAATTTTAAATTACTGCTGTGGACAGTGAGGCTCTAGCTATAGATTTGTGAATTGCAGAATACTTAATGTTGTTCATTCACTCAGTTGTGTCCGACTCTTTGCGACCCCATGGACTGCTCCACACCAGGCTTCCCTGCCTTTCGCCATCTCTGGGAGCTTGCTCAAACTCTTGTCCATTGAGTCGGTGATGCCATCCAACCATGTCGTCCTCTGTCATCCCCTTCTCCTGCCTTGTTCTTTAGATGGAGATGGATAATTTTCTCTTCATACAGAGCAGGAAGGAGCCTCTGGCACGTTTAGGTTCCCCCCACACCACCCCGAGCTCCTGCCAGGTTGGTTGGTGGTTTGGCAGGTTTTAATACTAGATTGGCCAAAAGGTTGATCTGGGCTTTTCATATGATATGGAAAAACCCAAATGAACTTTTTGGCCAACCCAATACCTATTTGTATTCTTGTGCTCAGTTGCTCAGTCATGTCTGACTTCGCAATCCGGTGGACTGTAGCCCACCAGGCTTCCCTGTCCATGGGATTTTTCAGGCAAGGATACTGGAGCAGGTTGCCATTTCCTGACAGCTAAATCCAGAAAACCATTTCTAAAGATAAACCTGCCTTGAACAATATTGAGAAAGCAAGTGTTGATGTGTTTTGAGTTTCAAAAATAATACATAATGAATTTTAGGAAAGTGGGATTACATTAAACCATAATGACGACAGAAGTTTAGTGAGGAATAGGACTTTAAAAGGCAAGTTTTTTAACTTAAAATTTTTCCCTAAAATATGAGAAGTGCACATAATTGGCTTGCTATTTAATGCAGACTCCCAGTCTCACACCCAGAGATTCTGAATTCAGTTAAGATGGGTGGGGGGCATTAGGATCCTGTGTCTTTTATATCCTTCCGATGTTGGTAGGCCGGAAATCACACTATAAATAATACGGTCCTGTGGGGCTACAGTATGCCTGTCTTTAATAGTTTTAGAAGCTTATAGGTCAGATTGTTTTGTTTTTATTTTAGAAGGAATGTTAAACTATTCCAAGTAAATTTTTTTTTTAGAAGTTTCCTTTTTTGTCTATTTTCCCACTACATGCATTCCTCAAGGATATGGATTTGTTTTTGATTCCCCGATGCCTGAACCTAGAGCTGAGTACTCAATAAATGTTTTTATTGACTTATATATGAAGTTGACTTTCAGATAAGAGTTTTAAATCCATAGAAGCAATGCTCCTTTTACAGAGAAACTTTAGGATTATACTTAACCCAAATTACCTAATATTCTATTCATAAAGGAAACTGATGCCTCATGGTCTCTGAATACATTTGTCGGCCATTTAGCTCTTCCTTGGGTTTCCTGTACAAACCCTTGCACTTAGCCTCTTCCTGTGCTTGACTTCTTTAGACTTTTATTATAATTTTTTAAACAAACCCACTACTTAGCTCCTTTTGAAGTAAAGCCATATTATTATACTCCTAGGACAAAAATTGAGTAGAATGAAAACATACTTGCATGAGAGAATTGAAGGTTTTGTAAATGCTCTTAATTTTTTTAAAAGATTTATAAAATTTGAACATAAATGTTTCTATCATTTTTTTTGTGCACAGAAGAGGTATGGTAAATTAAGGTTTGCAACTGTTAATCCAAAATGTGATAGGGAACAGCATCAGGAGGGTAAGACTAGTTTGTTTTAAGCAGCATGTGAGATTTTAATTCACCAAATATTGGGAGCACAGAGTCTTAACACCAGACCACCAGGGAAGTTCATAGGCCAGCCTTAATTATAGAACACATTGTTAGGTCATGTACCCAGAAGTCTGGTACTTTAGATTGCAGACTGAGGATTGTTGATTTAGTTACCTCATAGTGTACTACTTTATATTGGAGGATGTATTACTCCAGAAGGCTTTTTCTTATCCATGACCCGCCATGGAGTCTTGATGGAATGAGTGAGAATCTGGAATATTAGAGAACTGTTAATGCATGGAAT